TCAGACGCACCCTGTATATATATATATATATATATATATATATATATATATATTCTATTATTCTATAGAGACTTATCTATTAATGTTTAAAACACGTGTTTCTGGGGGCTTCTTTTTTTTTTAAATAATTATCGTCTACTGAACTCGTTCATCGAACATCTTTCGAGAAAATGTGCTCTTTGGCAGAACACAGACATGTCTTCATTATGTTGTCGAAACCATTGAATAATCTAGCGTTCTTTTTTGCCCGCCCAGCAATGAAAGCCTTCCATAGAAAAGCCAGGCTCAAATACTATTTAGAAGGCAAACAGAGTTCTCCTTATGATTTTTCAACACTGATAACGTTAATTTCATATCACAAACATAAACGAAATTAATTAAAATTTAATTAATTTAATTAAAATCCGATATTATTTCTTACTGATATAAACATTACATCTAGCGAATAATAAGTAGATATCTCTTTTTTTAAATATTCTATTCTTCATCTACCGGTCTGGATAAGTGATTATATTTTAATTTAAACCAAGGTATTTATTAATATATTAAACCAAGGTAATTTTTAGTAAATTAAACCAATGTATTTATTTAAACCCAGGTAATTATTTTTTTACATGAACTGAATTTTACCCGACTTGCTTAGTTACCTAAATTATCTCAGAGTTAATAGCCAGTTTGTAATATTTGAGTACTCCTCAATCTATCTAATTTCTCGATACTCATTAATTTTCTTAATTAGCTTCTCGGCATACAATTCCAGCAAATATCAAGCGCAATAAATTCTCCCTAAGCCTCCTCCCTGGGTTACTAAGATCAAATTTAGTCCTTCTGACTATAACTCTGCCTGTTGATTGCTCAAGCCTCCTTTAATCTCTACACACCCGACACGGCTAACGCAACGCCCACATCGGAAGAAACGAAATCAGAGGCTTGTCGCTGGATTTTACACAGCCGTTGTTTAAATAGAAATGGGTTGTATGGAAAGTGACTACAACGAACCCCTCTTCACAAACCATGTCACAGTGTTGCTGGGTTTAATTTTCTCAAAACGTTCTTGGGAAAAGACAATTGCTTTCAGGAACAAGTACTATGGAGTAATGAAACAAACATTGAGCTTTTTGGGCATAATAATCTGGAGAAGATTTAGCGCAAGAAAGGTAAGGCTTTCCTCCCAAAGAACACAGTGGTAACATTAAAACGTATCGGCGACTCGATGATGTTTTGGGGCTGTCTATCTCAAGGGGGAGTCGACAATTAATGGAAATAAGAAGAATGATAAAATCTGCAGACCGGATCAAATTTCTGGATGAAAATCTATGACCATCAGTGCAAAATCTTCATCTATGCCGTCGATTTACATTCCAGCAAGATAATGATCCCAAAACATACGACTAAATCAGTGACTGCGTGGCTTTTTTAAAAGAAGATGACAGTTCTGCAATGGCCTTCAGTGAGTTCTGACTTGAATCCTATTGAAAATCTATGGCAAGTATTGAAAATTCGAATAAATCGTCGGTCACCAAAAAACCTTCAGGAATTAGATCGTGCAACCATTGAAGAATGGAAGAAAATCCCAGAAAAGATTTGTTAAAATCTCATGAAAAACTTAAAAAAATGATTGCAGCAAGTTATAAAAATGAGAGACCATACTATTGAGTCGTAATATTGTAAGACTTATTCAATATTTTTTCTATTTTCCATACTGTATGAATAATTTTGCCTTTTCTTATATCTGAAAGGTGTTCATGGGGTTTCCAATTGAGAAAATTTCTCTCCAATATATGCCTCGTAATTACATATAACAGGTAATTATTGATCATAATCAATTGAAGACTTGCGTTATCTCTTATCCACTGCATTGTATTTTATCCGCTTAAAGCAGATCAGATGTCCGTCGTCACCATCAACACAAGGAATTAAAACACATGTTCGTATTCAGCCGAGAATAGCTTTCTTCAAGTAGCTCAAGCTATTGGGAATGTTTCTTTCGAAGGTTTGATTCCTTCTTGTCTAAATTCAATTTTCAAATTTCAACACGATAAAATGGTTTCTGAATTTTTTTGTTGATCGCCATGTACTCTATGGCATCTTAAATCTGCATGAATTATTTTTTTCCATATGTGTATTTCTGGTGATTTCTTTTAACCAAAATTGTATTGTTGGTAATATTTTCCCCAAGAATGTATTGATAGTAATATTTTCTCAAAAAATGTAGCGAGTAATATTTTTTTATTCCAAAAATGTATAGCTGGTTATATTTTTTTCCCAAAAATGTATTGCTGATAATATTTTTTTTTCAAAAATATATTGCTTCTAAAAAAATTTCCAAGAAAAATTGCAGGTATTAAAACCTATTTTTTTAATACTTTCATAGTGTTTTGACCCTTTTGTGAGTGTTATCTATTTGCCCATAGCTGGCACCCTGATAGGTGCTACTACCCCGGGTCAGAGTGGACCTAGGAACACCAGCAATTAAGAGGTAGTTCCATGCTCCTCTGACTCCCACGTGCTGCCAGATGTAGTTTAACGTCATACACAGGAAACGGATGCAGTTTCTCGTCTTACCCATGCGATGAGCCAGAATGGAGACCTGACATTTAAAGTGTGCTCCAAACGAATTTTGTAACAGACAGCTCTGCAGAGATCTCATTTCAAAACACAAGAAGTGTTCAACTACAATGTGGAGATTCATGGTGAGTAAAGATATTGGCAGGGCTTCTTCACAGATAATAACGACATTGGTATAACTATGAGCCGATGAAGAAGTTCAAAGTCTCGCAAACGATGGCTGGTCTGTCTTGATTATGACCAACGTTTGGACATCTGCTGTACCGCATCCGTTTCAAACGTACTTTCCAACACAGGTCTTTTCTTTTGCTTTTCGTTTCTGATTTCTGTGTGTTCTACTTAAAGTAAGATCCCGCAAGGTCACAAGCCCGAGAATCCATTAGATAACAGCGGCTCCACAAGTAGTGACAACCTAGTGGCGCGACTAGGGCAATATAGACTAACGTAGCCGATCCTTCTTCAGTCTGGTGTTGAATTGAGTTTTACCTTTTCCTAGACTGATTGTGATCTCAAGGCAAAATAAGCCAACCAGTCAGTCTTACTATTTAAACCATAATTAAGTGTGGAAGCGATAAATGCATACGTTTTATGTTTCTGAAATAGAAAGACATATAATGTTATAATTAAGGAATCAATTAAAGTAGCAAGGGTACCAAAATGTACCGCTGTCACAAAAACAGTGGTGTATCTAGAGCAAGATTATCAGTAGAAGACCATCTCTCAGTTGAAAGAAGTTAAGTGTCATGGGTCCTTACCTATAACTATAGAATGAACTCTTCCTAACACTATGTATACTACGCCTCTCAAGAGAAATGGTCGAATCAAGCCGAGCTTCTCGACTTGACGGTCGAACTTTCTGCCTCTGAGCAGAAAGGAACCCGGACAAGGCTCCGCCAAAGGGCAGAGTCTCGTTCGGGGAGAAATGACCAACCCGATCTCGTTTATACGGGTTATACGGGCATTTTTTGGCCGAGCCTACGGGCTCGGGAAACCCACGATAAACTCGGCCTTGTGCCACATGCAACCCTCGTGGGGGGGGGGGGGCTAGATACCGAATCAAGCCGAGCCTCTCAACTTGACGGTCGAACTCTCTGCCTCTGAGCAGAGAGGAACCCGGACGAGGCTCCGCCGAAGGGCAGAATCTTGTTCGGGGAGGTTGACCAACCCGATCCTGTTTATACAGGTTCTACGGGCATTTTTTGGCCGAGTCTACGGGCTCGGGAAACCCACGTTAAACTCGGCCTTGTGCCACATGCAACCCTCGTGGCGGGGGGCTAGATACCGAATCGAGTCGAGCCGATAGTAGTTCACTCCAAACCAGACTGACAGTCATACTAACACCTTCCACATCTTGTATTATTATTTCGTGTAATATACATTCGTTATTTCTACTCTTGTGTTCGTCTTGGTCTTCCTTGGTCCTAACCTGGACCATAACATTAAGAAAGGACAAAAAATACCTATGGAAAACTTGTAGCATCAAATAGTTTTGACTGTTTCATCTTTTTGGGTGCATTAATAATTAGTCAATTGTTATAGGGACGAAGTAAAAAGACAAACGATGTTTACTTCACTGGTCCCTATAATTTTTCCGGCAACTGAAAGATTTGCTGCCCCCATTATAGTGGGTGTCATAAGAAAAGATTTTCTGGCAGACAATGGTGGATGTAGACAATAGGATCAACATTGACGCTACTGAGGCGCCCGAACCTCATTTCATCGAAGAAAGAACGAGAAGAAACTTGCTCGCTTCAAGTCTGTGCGGAGGCAGTAACACAAACGTAAATGAACGCAATTGGTGAAGCGACAATTGATAAGAAGCGTACAGACTATTTCTGAGTTATCGTGGAGCATATTGTGTCTTTAAGAAACCCTCCTGAATATAATTACATACCTGGGGCTGAATAAATTCTTACCGGAATTGATTGCGAAATGTAATCAAGTGAATAAATTACTTTTATGTCTTCTAGTTCCCGATAATAGGAGTGGATTTTGGTGGCCAATGACGCATAAATTAACGCCAGAAATACGTGGTGCCATTGCTCGATGATTTTTGAAATTATTTGCCATGTAACTTTATGTCGCTTTTCACTGAAATTTCATTTGCGTTTTCACTATATGAGTATAGGTAATAAATGATGTCAATATATGTTTATCAATTTTTTTTTCTGTATAAAGCAAAATACTGTCATTCCTTCCCCATAGGCGAAACCTCGCAAACTTATCGCTACCAGGTTGATATTTCCATGGCAAATGCTGTGACGATCTGCATTCCTCATTTACACGAGTTCATAGCTAAGACCCATACCTATTCCCTTCCTATTCCGGTAGTAAGGAGTTCCAGTCGGACATCCTCTTCCCCGGAGTCGCTACTTTGTGGAGCAAACCCCTGAAAGGATGCTACAACCTTCACCCCACCGAATCTAGGATCACGGCTACATCACGATGAAACACCGATTCCCGTTCGATCATCGAAGTTAAGTAACATTGCGCCTGATCAGTGCCAAAATGGGTGATCACTTAGAAATACCAGATGCTATAAGCTTGGATTGATACAAAAGACTTAGAGACACATGATGTTGAAACACCGATTCCCGTACGTTCACCGAGGTTAAGCAACGTTATTCGTGGTTATTACCAAGATGGGTGTCTGCTTGGTAATACCAGGTGTTTTAAGCTTTGGTGTACGAGTAGTACAATGGATAATGGCTGAGAACTGATAATCAGAGAGCTGAGTTCCAATTCCAGTTGGGTTCGTTATCTTCACTTACTAGCAAAAGGAAAGGTATGAACCCTCCTCTTCTACCCCCAGCTTTGGGTTAATTAGTAAAAATTGTATCCTTAAGCCATTATTATATCCCCACTACATCCCAAATTCTTAAAATCAAAAAATATTTTCTGGCTTTAAATTACCTGCAGTGAATTTATCAGTAGTAGAAGTCGAAACAATCAATCAATGAAACTACACAGGCACGACTTTTAGATTTAATTACATTCTCTGGACTATAAATATATAGAAATTACCGTGGGCCAAAAATCAGTGACCAGTTTATATATTGATTGTAACATAGAATTGATCCCTCACTTTATATGCACATTATAATTTCTTGTTTGTTTATCAAATTCTGATAAGGCATGAGCCTTTCCCAACTATGCGTTAATTAATAAGACATGTATCACTAGACTATATAGCCCACAAAAAAAATAATCACTTTAGGATTGGCGCAGCCTAATCTTCCACGCTTATATTCTTGACCAGTAAAAAAGCAGTTCAATCCTCACTTACTAGTCTTGAGAGCATTCAAAATCGACTACGCGACCTTGTGGGTGATGAATTGTTTGCCACCCAACAATCTCTTCCCCACAGACGAAATGTTGCAAGCCTCCGCTGCTCTATCGCTATTTCTAATTTCTTGCTACTTTGTGGAACAGACTCCCGAGAGGATGCTTTCCTGATCACTAGACTCTTAACCTCTTCAAGTCTAGGGATATCTTTCCTATATATCCTCATTTCTTAACTCCTCCTCATATCCCCATACGACAAAGTCTTTTTTAAGTCTCTACCTTGAGTGGCTCTTAACGTCCTTCAGTATACGGTTGATCGTTATCTTTTCTATATATCCTTATAAACTGGTCTTTTTATCTTGTCTCTTTTACGCTCAGACGAAAACCTCTTTCAGTAATCGCTACTTTGAGTGGTTCTTGAGTCTTGTATCGGGTGAATATTATTAGAAAAACTGTTGTAGAGTAGTTTTTCACAGTGGAGGTTTGTATTTCACTAAGTCGGTCTTAAAAGGGTTCGACGTACAAAACGTTAGGAACTTGAAATAATAGTTAATGACGCAGCAATCTAGTTGTGGTGGTTGATACTTTAATGTCCGACATCGACTGACACAACAACTCCACTGAGCCCTCTGGCAACTGCTACTACTACTACTTATTATATCTGTGGGAGAGTCTATTAACAATAGAATAGGTATGTTCCGGTAAAACAAAAACAAAAACATGAAAGTTTAGAAGAAACGCGAAATGTAATCACGAGAGCAAATCATTCCCAAATAATAAAAAAGAAGCTTTCCTAGCAGTTCAAATAGGTTTTTGTGTTATACATTATCAAATACTCCGTAATGTGCGTCATTTATGAAACATGTGTATACGGCTTTTTGGTTTTTTTTATTGACTGGTTACCAAAAGTTTAAAAATAATGATAGGAATCTACTTCAAAACTGTATTTCTAACATCGCCCTCTTAAATCTGAAATCTTATTTATTAAGTTTTTAATCGTCAATAGGAGTAGATAGGTTGGCCTATCGTCCTGTTCACACTCCTTCTCAGTCTTTTGATAAGGAGTAGAGGTTTATCCATTGCTTCTTCTTTACGATTGTGTTTCAGGTTCCTTCTAATGTCTACTTCAATTCTATACTTTTAACGTTTCGGTCTAAACTATGAAATTTTATTTACTAATTATCTATTTATTTATTTTTATTTTGTTTCTCCTCAATAGCAGTACATAGGCTTGCCTATCGCCCGGTTCACACTTCTCTCCAGTCTATTGAAAAGAAGTAGAAGTTTAACCCTTGTTTCTTGTTTTGGAGTGTACTTCCGGTTGCTTTTAAAGTCTACTTCAACTCTGTACCTTTAACGTTACCGTCTGAACTCTGAATTTTTATTTACTTATTATTTTTTTTCAATACCAGTAGATGGGTTCATCTATCGTCCGGTTCCCACTCCTCCCCGTGCTTTTTAACAGGTTGTTATCCCTTGTCCCATGTTTAAGATCGGGTTTCAGGTTTCTTCCAAACACTTTTCATTATCTTTCATTCTCAGTAACCCCCCCCCTTGCGTCTTAGTGGCATCGTCGCCTTGCTTGGGGCGAAATGATTAAAAAGAAAAGAAGAAAATATAATCAAGAACGCCATGTATAATATTCCAAATAATTACGGAGTAGAATACAAAATTGGAACTTGGGACCCTCTGAAAATAAGACACAACAAAAAGCTTACTAACCAAAGGTACTTGAAATTGTTACATTTTTTTGTGTATGTGGTATGTAACTAGTGAGTTAGTCAAAATGACTTAACTCCCTTTATAGTCTACCAATAGAAGGTTAACCAATCAAGCGCCGCAAAATATTGTATCCGTCGTGTATAAAAGCGGCCATTTTTCTTTACCCTACCCGAAAGACCAGTGCCAACTTGTCCGGCGAAGATGACAGAAGGAAGAACTACGCTTTCCTACTTTGCTCCGAAATATTCATTGCTAACCTCTGGATTCTATACTCGAAACGACCGTCAAAATGTCTAACAGAAATTTGGTATGGATGTCTATGTATATATGAAAACAAAGGCGTTACGAACCTTTATGGAATGAGTTCAATGTAATGACGAACGAGGACTAATAACGAAAAAAGTAGTTTGCAAGTAACCGTCCATATCAGTTATGTGCCACGCGTGATACACGCTTAGCCGATCATGTATCTTTCAATACATCACTGACAAGGCAGTTTTTTTTTTTTGCCGCAGTAGGTTGCCATTTCTTTCTGCGGTAGACCAGTTGACATCCAAGTCTACAGAAACCTGTCTTTCCTGCCATTTACCCATAACGGGGTGGAGAGAGAAGTAGAGGATTCATACCTTTCCCAAGCGTAATAGAATGTAAGCGAATGTAATGGATTTAACAGGAATTCTAACTAGATTGTTCGATTCCTCAATCCGAGCCGGTCAAAGACTGAGGAATCGGAGAGCTGTTCATATACCATGCTCTAATAATTTAATCAAGAATCATCATATAGCGATTTCCCAAGCGTATCTCGGATGTGGCACAAGGCCGAAAGTATGGGGCACCCAGTGAGGATCGAACTCACTACTCAGTCGTAATTGTTCTAGGGAGACAAGCTTTTTAACCATTACACCACCTCGAGGTGCCCAGAATCATCATATATAGACGTAGGATGAATTAGCCAGACGGCAGCTGGGGAGGAATTTGGAGTTATATTGTGAGGACAGAAGCGCATCTGTTAATGCCAGTTAGGAGCAAACTAAATAAAAAAAAACCGGACGTAACGTTTTGAGATCGCAGTTAGAGCAAGACTTTCTAAAATATCAAACACCTGAGGAAGACCGGTGTCTATTCAACTGAAGCATGTTATGAAAAAAAAAAAATTCGAGGAAATTATTCCGAAAAAAAAAAAAAAACGACAGACAAGGATTACGATTTCTACTATTGTTATTTCAATACTTGAAATAATTCTTCTATTCATGTTAGAATAGTAATGGTTTCCACGACAGTTGTTAAGAAGATTAAAATTAAATCCGTATTTATGCGGATTACATTGTAAAATTTTGAATTTAAATAAAAGAGTCGATACTATTCCACGAAAAGTAATCAATTAATCCATTCTCTGCTTATTGTGCTTACAACGTTTTCTTCCACATTTTCCTTCCTAATTATATTTGATCGAAAAAATTAACACGTTTGTTGTCTTGTGAAAGCAAACTTATGTGTGTGGTATTCCGCATAAGGCTGCTGTTGTCAAAAAATAATGAGATCGAAAATTGTCGCGGCCAGATGAGATCTAAACATGTACTACAAAACGGGTCTACAGACATCGAGAAAAGACCTAATGATGGCGCTTCAAGATGAGATCTAAAAATGAATGACTGAAAAAGATGAGATCTAAAGATTTCGAGAAAAAAAGATCTCTAAAGATGCAGGGCAAAGAGATCTAAAGATGTCAAGAAAAGATGATATCTAAAGATGTAGGGCAAAGAGATCTAAAGATGTCAAAAAAAGATGTCATCTAAAGATGTAGGACTAAGAAATCTAAAGATGTCAAGAAATGATGATATAAAGATCTAGGAAAAAGAGATCTAAAGATCTCAAGAAAAAGACGAGACCTAAAGATGTCAAAAAAAGACGGTATCTAAAGATGTTTGAAAAGATGAGACCTAAAGATGACGATACAAGTTGAGATCTAAAGACGCCGAGGAAAGATGAGATCTAAAGATGTCGAGGAAAGTTTGGAAGCAATCGCAAAATGTAATCAAGAGAGTAAATCATTACCAAATAAAAAAAGCTTTCCTAGCAGTTCAAATAGGTTTGTGTGTAATAACTTCTCAAACACGTCTGCGCAATTCTTGAAACATAGGCATACGCCTTTTTGCTTTCTTATTGCCCGGTAACCGAAAGTTGAAAAAATACTTGTAGAAGTCTGTTTTAACTCTACACTTCTAATATCTCCTGAAATTTAAAATCTAAATTTTTAATCCTCAATAGGAGTAGATAGGTTGGCCTATCGTCCTGTTCACTCTCCTTCCCGGTTTTTTGATAAGGAGTAGAGGTTTATCCATTGTTTAGGATCGCGTTTCCGGTCCCTTCTAAAGTCTTCAGGAAGTACTTATATTTATATAGTATTCGTAAAACAGGGAGCATTTTATTAATCGAACAGTCGGATCCAAATGTATCGTCTGTATTAAAAAGACACATGGATCAGTGGATAATGACATTGGTTAGATCCAGGTACTCAACTCAAAGAGTTGTG